GCCTGACTGTGTGCTCATTCTAAAACATGACTGACTGTGTGCTCATTCTAAAACATGCCTGACTGTGTGCTCATTCTAAAACATGCCTGACTGTGTGCTCATTCTAAAACATGTCTGACTGTGTGCTCATTCTAAAACATGCCTGACTGTGTGCTCATTCTAAAACATGCCTGACTGTGTGCTCATTCTAAAACATGTCTGACTGTGTGTTCATTCAGAAACTTGCCTGCTTGCCAATTCCAAAACATGACTGACTGTGTGCTCATTCTAAAACATGTCTGACTGTGTGCTCATTCTAAAACATGCCTGACTGTGTGCTCATTCTAAAACATGTCTGACTGTGTGTTCATTCTAAAACATGTCTGACTGTGTGCTCATTCTAAAACATGTCTGACTGTGTGCTCATTCTAAAACATGTCTGACTGTGTGCTCATTCTAAAACATGCCTGACTGTGTGCTCATTCTAAAACATGACTGACTGTGTGCTCATTCTAAAACATGCCTGACTGTGTGCTCATTCTAAAACATGCCTGACTGTATGCTCATTCTAAAACATGTCTGACTGTGTGCTCATTCTAAAACATGCCTGACTGTGTGCTCATTCTAAAACATGCCTGACTGTGTGCTCATTCTAAAACATGCCTGACTGTGTGCTCATTCTAAAACATGTCTGACTGTGTGCTCATTCTAAAACATGTCTGACTGTGTGCTCATTCTAAAACATGCCTGACTGTGTGCTCATTCTAAAACATGCCTGACTGTGTGCTCATTCTAAAACATGCCTGACTGTGTGCTCATTCTAAAACATGCCTGACTGTGTGCTCATTCTAAAACATGCCTGACTGTGTGCTCATTCTAAAACATGTCTGACTGTGTGTTCATTCTAAAACATGCCTGACTGTGTGCTCATTCTAAAACATGTCTGACTGTGTGCTCATTCTAAAACATGTCTGACTGTGTGCTCATTCTAAAACATGCCTGACTGTGTGCTCATTCTAAAACATGCCTGACTGTGTGCTCATTCTAAAACATGTCTGACTGTGTGCTCATTCTAAAACATGCCTGACTGTGTGCTCATTCTAAAACATGCCTGACTGTGTGCTCATTCTAAAACATGTCTGACTGTGTGCTCATTCTAAAACATGTCTGACTGTGTGCTCATTCTAAAACATGTCTGACTGTGTGCTCATTCTAAAACATGTCTGACTGTGTGCTCATTCTAAAACATGTCTGACTGTGTGCTCATTCTAAAACATGCCTGACTGTGTGCTCATTCTAAAACATGCCTGACTGTGTGCTCATTCTAAAACATGCCTGACTGTGTGCTCATTCTAAAACATGCCTGACTGTGTGCTCATTCTAAAACATGTCTGACTGTGTGCTCATTCTAAAACATGTCTGACTGTGTGCTCATTCTAAAACATGCCTGACTGTGTGCTCATTCTAAAACATGCCTGACTGTGTGCTCATTCTAAAACATGCCTGACTGTGTGCTCATTCAAAACATGCCTGACTGTGTGCTCATTCTAAACATGCCTGACTGTGTGCTCATTCTAAAACATGCCTGACTGTGTGCTCATTCTAAAACATGCCTGACTGTGTGCTCATTCTAAAACATGCCTGACTGTGTGCTCATTCTAAAACATGTCTGACTGTGTGCTCATTCTAAAACATGTCTGACTGTGTGCTCATTCTAAAACATGCCTGACTGTGTGCTCATTCTAAAACATGCCTGACTGTGTGCTCATTCTAAAACATGCCTGACTGTGTGCTCATTCTAAAACATGTCTGACTGTGTGCTCATTCTAAAACATGCCTGACTGTGTGCTCATTCTAAAACATGCCTGACTGTGTGCTCATTCTAAAACATGCCTGACTGTGTGCTCATTCTAAAAACATGCCTGACTGTGTGCTCATTCTAAAACATGCCTGACTGTGTGCTCATTCTAAAACATGCCTGACTGTGTGCTCATTCTAAAAACATGTCTGACTGTGTGCTCATTCTAAAACATGCCTGACTGTGTGCTCATTCTAAAACATGCCTGACTGTGTGCTCATTCTAAAACATGCCTGACTGTGTGCTCATTCTAAAACATGCCTGACTGTGTGCTCATTCTAAAACATGCCTGACTGTGTGCTCATTCTAAAACATGTCTGACTGTGTGCTCATTCTAAAACATGTCTGACTGTGTGCTCATTCTAAAACATGTCTGACTGTGTGCTCATTCTAAAACATGTCTGACTGTGTGCTCATTCTAAAACATGTCTGACTGTGTGCTCATTCTAAAACATGTCTGACTGTGTGCTCATTCTAAAACATGTCTGACTGTGTGCTCATTCTAAAACATGTCTGACTGTGTGCTCATTCTAAAACATGTCTGACTGTGTGCTCATTCTAAAAATGTCTGACTGTGTGCTCATTCTAAAACATGTCTGACTGTGTGCTCATTCTAAAACATGTCTGACTGTGTGCTCATTCTAAAACATGTCTGACTGTGTGCTCATTCTAAAACATGCCTGACTGTGTGCTCATTCTAAAACATGCCTGACTGTGTGCTCATTCTAAAACATGTCTGACTGTGTGCTCATTCTAAAACATGTCTGACTGTGTGCTCATTCTAAAACATGTCTGACTGTGTGCTCATTCTAAAACATGTCTGACTGTGTGCTCATTCTAAAACATGTCTGACTGTGTGCTCATTCTAAAACATGTCTGACTGTGTGCTCATTCTAAAACATGTCTGACTGTGTGCTCATTCTAAAACATGTCTGACTGTGTGCTCATTCTAAAACATGTCTGACTGTGTGCTCATTCTAAAACATGTCTGACTGTGTGCTCATTCTAAAACATGTCTGACTGTGTGCTCATTCTAAAACATGTCTGACTGTGTGCTCATTCTAAAACATGTCTGACTGTGTGCTCATTCTAAAACATGCCTGACTGTGTGCTCATTCTAAAACATGCCTGACTGTGTGCTCATTCTAAAACATGTCTGACTGTGTGCTCATTCTAAAACATGTCTGACTGTGTGCTCATTCTAAAACATGTCTGACTGTGTGCTCATTCTAAAACATGTCTGACTGTGTGCTCATTCTAAAACATGTCTGACTGTGTGCTCATTCTAAAACATGTCTGACTGTGTGCTCATTCAGAAACTTGCCTGACTGTGTGCTCATTCTAAAACATGTCTGACTGTGTGCTCATTCTAAAACATGTCTGACTGTGTGCTCATTCTAAAACATGTCTGACTGTGTGCTCATTCTAAAACATGTCTGACTGTGTGCTCATTCTAAAACATGTCTGACTGTGTGCTCATTCTAAAACATGCCTGACTGTGTGCTCATTCTAAAACATGTCTGACTGTGTGCTCATTCTAAAACATGCCTGACTGTGTGCTCATTCAGAAACTTGCCTGACTGTGTGCTCATTCTAAAACATGTCTGACTGTGTGCTCATTCTAAAACATGTCTGACTGTGTGCTCATTCTAAAACATGTCTGACTGTGTGCTCATTCTAAAACATGCCTGACTGTGTGCTCATTCTAAAACATGTCTGACTGTGTGCTCATTCTAAAACATGCCTGACTGTGTGCTCATTCAGAAACTTGCCTGACTGTGTGCTCATTCTAAAACATGTCTGACTGTGTGCTCATTCTAAAACATGCCTGACTGTGTGCTCATTCAGAAACTTGCCTGACTGTGTGCTCATTCTAAAACATGTCTGACTGTGTGCTCATTCTAAAACATGTCTGACTGTGTGCTCATTCTAAAACATGTCTGACTGTGTGCTCATTCTAAAACATGTCTGACTGTGTGCTCATTCTAAAACATGCCTGACTGTGTGCTCATTCTAAAACATGCTTGACTGTGTGTTCTTTCTAAAACATGCCTGACTGTGTGCTCATTCTTAAACATGCCTGACTGTGTGCTCATTCTAAAACATGCCTGACTGTGTGCTCATTCTAAAACATGCCTGACTGTGTGCTCATTCTAAAACATGCCTGACTGTGTGCTCATTCTAAAACATGTCTGACTGTGTGCTCATTCTAAAACATGCCTGACTGTGTGCTCATTCTAAAACATGCCTGACTGTGTGCTCATTCAGAAACTTGCCTGACTGTGTGCTCATTCTAAAACATGTCTGACTGTGTGCTCATTCTAAAACATGTCTGACTGTGTGCTCATTCTAAAACATGTCTGACTGTGTGCTCATTCTAAAACATGTCTGACTGTGTGCTCATTCTAAAACATGCCTGACTGTGTGCTCATTCTAAAACATGCCTGACTGTGTGCTCATTCTAAAACATGCCTGACTGTGTGCTCATTCTAAAACATGTCTGACTGTGTGCTCATTCTAAAACATGTCTGACTGTGTGCTCATTCAGAAACATGCCTGACTGTGTGCTCATTCTAAAACATGTCTGACTGTGTGCTCATTCAGAAACATGCCTGACTGTGTGCTCATTCTAAAACATGCCTGACTGTGTGCTCATTCTAAAACATGCCTGACTGTGTGCTCATTCTAAAACATGTCTGACTGTGCTCATTCTAAAACATGTCTGACTGTGCTCATTCTAAAACATGTCTGACTGTGTGCTCATTCTAAAACATGTCTGACTGTGTGCTCATTCTAAAACATGTCTGACTGTGTGCTCATTCTAAAACATGCCTGACTGTGTGCTCATTATAAAACATGCCTGACTGTGTGCTCATTCTAAAACATGCCTGACTGTGTGCTCATTCTAAAACATGTCTGACTGTGTGCTCATTCTAAAACATGTCTGACTGTGTGCTCATTCAGAAACTTGCCAATTCCAAAACATGACAGTGAGCTTGTTCCAGTACATGACCTTGGCAAAATATCCATGTGACTGTCACAACCGTGACCTCTGCCTTCAAGTGACCCAAGAAAATCCCATTTTGCTGCTTGGATATAACATGATGTCAACCTTTCAAGTGTTGAACTTTGATGAAATAACAAACATTTACTTCTTCTACAGGCAGTGCTGGGGAAAGTACTCTTCAGGGAACAGTTAGGAACACTTTGGTATCTTGGATCAGTGCTAATGATAGTAGGCCTTGCAGTTTTACATCGAGGTTCTGAAGATCAGATGAACAATATTCAGCAAGCTAAGAAGACATCTTAACGTTTCAGTAGGTGACTGCATATAATTCCACAAGTTGAGAGTACAGTGCAGACCGCTAAAGGTGCTCTTGGATGTGGTGAATTTCTGTTGTAAAGAATAATTTGCTTATCCCTAGAAATTATCATGTGCTTGAACTCTTGTCTGAATGAGATGAATTTGACACAAGAACTACTTCTTGAGTCTCTGATGAGTTCTCCTTATCAGGTCTGCACTGTATAACATGAAGGCGGCGTACAGACACAAGCAGCAGGGTATGATAGTATCTACATTTAAAAGATACAAGTAAATGAGAGAACAGATAGGAGTATGCTGTCATCATCATCATGTGCCATCCCAACATCATCGTGTGCTTTACTGTCATCATCATTATGTGCCATTCCATCATCAGAATCATGGATCAAGTCAGTGCTCTTGTCTTGCCTCATCCATATGGCTAAGCCATGCTGGTATTTATACAAAGATACAGCACGCAGCGTTTCACAAAATCACCATTTTTGTCCCAGGTGATGCTGGTGTGAAAGACAATGAGAGAGCAGATGCTCTGGCTGGCAGTGTGACTATCAGGAAATGGCCAACTATGGACAGAAGAGACATCATCAAAGTCAAATGAGAGACTAAATGCTGTGAGGCTTTCATTTTTGTGGAAAATGATTTTCCACTGCAAACCCTGGGTGTACCAGTTAGAGTTGCGAGACAGGAAAACCATGCGGAAGCCACCTGTTGTTATGTTAACCAGAATAGAATGGCAGTTGTTAGCCTAAAAACACTTGGAGAAATACTCAGGAGGAGATTGGAGCACTTATGGTCATTTCAGCTGTGCAATGAGGATGATCTGTGCCTTCCTATTGCTCTCTTTCTGTCAGTTTTGCCATTCATTACCGTATCTTACATCCATTCCTTCTCACAGCGTATCTGAAGGACCTTCTATTCTTTACTCCTGGAATGCCTCGCAACCTCAGGGCAGGAAGAGATCTCTGGAACAGGCCCTTCTGTTTGCTTCATGTAACACTCTCATTGGGGGGTATGGTGTCCGCCTCGAGTGCTAGAGGTTCCAGGTTCAATTCCCAGTAAGGGCTGCTTGAACTTCTAGTAATTCCCCCTGGTCTCTGGGTAGTGAGATTGGATGCCTGTGTGCATTGTTGCACACATAAAAAAAATCCCTTCGCAGTTGGAAATCAAAAAGAGTAGTCTAATGACGCAGCCCAGGCAAAATTTGCAGTTAAAAATCTACCTAAAGTATTTCAGGATCGTCGCTACAGAGCCTGTGCACTGTGCTTAGCTTCTTCGGACTCAGACTTTAGTTAGAAGAAGAACGGAGCACTTATGGGTTACTAACCGTGTGCCATGATGTTGATCCGTTGCTCAAACTGCTAAGACACTGTCTGCATCCAATTGTTGAATCAGTTTACAACTTTTATATGTCTCAAGAACTGCCTCATTTTGTTTCTCTATCATTGAATATGCTGTTGTTGCCTAACAATATATATATATATATATAGGTAAGAAACATCTTATTGTTTTTGTAAGAGTTTATATAGGCCAAGTAAATTTTGCAACAAAAGGCAAGAGGGTCTTTCATAGCACTAAGGAATTTGTGGAGGTCAAAGGAAATTAAAAGAAATACCAAACTAAAAATGTTTAATTCTAATGTCACATCAGTACTATTGTATGGGGTGTAAACATGGAAAACAACGAAGGCAATTACTAATAAATTACAGACATTCATTAACTGGTGCCTAGAGAATAGAGGGAATTAAATGGTATGATAGAATAACTAATGTAGAACTTTGGGAGAGAACTAAACAGGCTCCAGTGGACCAAGAGGTGAGGAAAAGATGCTGGCGTTGGATAGGTCACAACACTGAGAAAATAGGAGAACAGCATAACTAGAATGTCTTTGCATTGGAACCCACAGGGGCATAGGAATAAAGGAAGGCCAAAAAACACATGGAGAAGAGAGCTGGAGAATGAAGTTAGAAAGATGGGGAGGTCATGGGGAGAGCTCCATGCAATGGCGAAGGATAGAACGACTTGGCGTGAGTTGGTTGAGGGCCTATGCTCCATTGGGGGATAGAAAGGCAGAAGAAGAAGAAGAAGAAATGTTGCATGCAAACAAAAACAGGTACATTTTAAGTTAAACCTGGATTATCATAAGAATGTCTACTTTTCAAATGAAGGAAATCAAATCATCGCTCTTTGAGCTTCTTTGGGTGGATTTTTGGATCAACCCAGTCATTTTCTCAGCGGTCAGAAATGAAACCAATGCATCATGGGACAATAAGCACATACTCTTTTATTCATTGATCAGTTCTTATCACATGCCCATGACATGATCATGTTCAATGCAAGCAATTATGTGCCATGCAGCATAAACGGGTTTCAAATTAATGCTCTTTATAGTTTTTTGTCTAAGGTGTTTTGTGTATGAATATCACGAGGAAGAAAAATTTGCCTATAATCCTTTGTTGGAGCTCCTGAAACATTTCCTGATAGTCCCTCAGAACCCGCCTGTGTTTATTTGTTCCTGGTGGGTGTCTCTGTAAGATCTTTTTTCACTTTTTTCCAGTTAGTTCATCAGTGTGCCCTTTGGGAGCAAGTGAACTGTGCGGAGGTACAAATAAATCATATGGTCTGGGGAATGGTACAGCTAGGAGTGACCGGGGGATCTGGTCGACACTTTACATTCGGGGAGTGACTCTACACTCAGGGGAAAGACAAGACGGAGTTATAATCAAACTGCTACTAGCATCATTGGAAATGAAACTCTTTGCTGGCTGCTGAAGATAAGGACGGAGCACTTATGGGACTGTCCCAAGTGCAGTGATGTCAGGATTTTCTGTGTGCTCTTTCCAACACGTTGTATATAAGTTGGTGTTGATTTCTTAAAGGCTGTACCGGATGTCATCGTTACATCATCTGTGTGGGCGTCGCATGCCATATCCGTCAGATGGAGTGTGAGATGTAAAAAAACATTATCCCAATATTCTCTGTTGATGATGCTTCAATGGTGGCTGGAAAGATCAACTGTCACATTACATATTAGTGTATGCATGTAATGTATTTTATATAGTCAGGAGCCTTGCCAGATACCATTCATATCTACATAGATCGCATCCCTTGATGTTCTAGATTAAGTCTTTTAATGATAATTAACAATATTTGTTCTTGTGTGGGTTCTATAGCTGGCCTGGGCATTAGTAGCATTCATCACAGTGAGTGAGTGAGTGAGTGAGATGATTCAACCCCACCAGGGCATCCACCAAGTGATAAAACCCAGTGACACAAAGTGCCACCATGCAGATGAGGATCACCCTGGAAGAGGACCCATAAACCATGTTAAACCCATAGGCTGGGTTATATTAGGCTCACCCCCCCTCCCGGCAACATCTAGTGTGGAGCTTTATTCATCACATCTGATTTATCTTCACCCTTTCTCAGCTGTTTATTCATATTTAAGACTTTCTGCCTTTAGCAGCAAACATTTGACTTAAGATCATGTTACTTTGTTTAATAAATGTATAGACTTTGAGTTTATATAAATTTGTGTGTGGCTATGCATGTATGTTTATGAAATATGGAGAAAGAATGTCTATAAGAGAGGTGAGAGAATGTGAGGTCATGAGAGGAAGAAAAGGGCGGGGGAAGATGGAATAAGTAGGATGTGCAAGACGCATGTTGACGAAGGAAAGAAAGAAAAAGGGATACCTTTTAATGCGGCTTACAGGTGAGTGAAGTTGTTTCACAATGCAATTCTCGACATTTGCCAAGGTTCAATTCCCACAGTGGGCAATCTCGAAAAAGGCCACTCTCATGACTTTAAGTGGTATGAGAGTTGCACCGTGGAAGAGACTGTGGCCTCAACACATAATATTGCCACAGTCAGCAGCAGAAACATTGCAGCCATGTTTTCTTGTGTAGAGAGCACACATTTCACATTCCGGAATAATTCAGGTGAGGCTGGATGAAATATGTCTGACAGTATCAGCACCAATAAAGTCTTGTTCCCAAGAACTCCCAACGCAGATTACTAATGGTGATAATTTATTATCCGTGTACAATTTATTACATCATCTTATCATAATAATTCATTCTTAACTCTTTCATCCTGGTGACCTAGAAAGAAAAAAATGGCAAATACACATATTTTGGAAATTGAAAATATTTATGAAAAAAAAAAAAAGTTTACACAAGTCACACACAAAAACTCATAGCAACTCCACTTATGGACCAAACTAATATTTAATTCCTTACCCAAAAAAAAATAGGAGAGGTAAACACGAATATGGCAAAGAACCGACTGGGTTACCTCACCTCAGCTTTACAAAAATGAAATGTTTAGCATGACCTTTTGTTTGACCCCGTAATCTAGCAGCCAACTAGTAATCAGTGAAATTAACAGGAAATTCTAGTGTCCTTATTTAGGAATAAAGCCATTATTCAAAGGAACACCTACCCCACCTATATGGTATAAATGTTAGCACTATCCCTGTTCCCCGTCACTCTAACTAGTTGCCTAGAAAAATGGTGGAAAAGGAATGTCAGCGAGGCCTCTCGTAAACAAGCCTACACAACAAGCTGGAAGAAGGACTGCTGCTCGTTTGTTCACCGGCTGTAAGCTCCTGCAGAAAGTCCTAGTTGTTTGTCACTTTGGCTTTGTGCCAGGGCTTTAGTTTTGCATGTACATGTGTTTCACTGGCTTATTTGTGAGCACTGGGTTGTTCCTTGCCGTAGATAAACTCCAACCTCAAAGGAAGTCCCCAATTAGTCGACTCCTATGACATGCTTATTGGGGAGGCAGTGGGTTTATTCTCATTTTCGCCACAATGGGGCCCCAGAACTCACAAACCACAAGCTTCTCGGGGTGAGAGTTAAATTTGTATGCAGATTAAAAGGTATATTTCCAACTGTGTGTTTTTTACTGAGCTCTTCAGTGATGCCCAGAGTTTCCACATGGTAAGTCCAAAAAAGTTTTTGTAAAAATATCGCAAAGGCCGGTTATGAGAACTTAATTCCCGCCATGGCCATTGATAATTAAAAAACACAAAATGATCTTACTCTCGAATCCAACTTTGGGCATAATCAAATAAATTGATTCTGATGATTTAAACCCCTTAAGTCGGTAATTTAGGTGTGCCCAAGAGGGAAGTATGAGATGGGTAGCAAGTTACTGACATGTTGCACACAAACCAAAGACTAAACCACCAGCTATCCACTGAAAAAGCAATTTTACCAAGGGGAGAAAACTTGAATGGACACAGCAGTGCAAGCGTGATCTTATCATCAAAACTAGCTACCACCTGTAGAAAAGTAGAGCAAGCGTGATCTTGTGAGATCCACTAGCTACCACATGTAGATAGTAGAGCAAGCATGTATTCACCATGCCCACTGAAGTCACTTAGGACGTAAAACAGTTTCTTTAATTTATATTTTTATATAGAAGCCGCCATGGCATAGCAACTAGACACACCTATGTATCCAAAAGGTCATGGGATGAAGTCCTGAAAGAGCTCCCTGGCCGACGCAGCCTCAAATGGGTACCAGGTAATCTTGGTAATCTTAGTTTCAGCTTCATAGCAAACGAGTCACCCCATAGTTGCTCCGATTCTGTGCCAACGAAAAACACACAGAATGTTTATCCCAGTCCTTTGTGGAAAGATTGACAGACTGTTGTCTCAGCATATGCACTAGCATACACACGCATTAAAAGCATACTGTAGCCATCGAAAGTGCTAACATAAACAGTTGACTTTAAAAATGCAGTTCATCATCGATGGTAGCAGAAGTTACCAAGAGATCAGCAGTTGCACACACGATAAATATTAATCACATAAGGGTACCACCAATATTGCGGCGATCGGCCACGCGCCATTTTCTGAATCTACAGTTCACAACGCCACATTGGTCACAGTCGAAAGACATTCCAAATTAAATCCGCAGCTCACAGGGTCGTGTCATGCACTAAACTCAGTAGCTGGCTCGACAAAACTGTATCCTTTCAGTCTACAAATGGATCAAAAATGCAACGGCCACCGTCTGGCAAAGGCAAAATAATTTGCCTCGACGCGAAACAGTGACTGCTAGCGTCCATTTTGACCGGAAGTTTGAGGGGGGTACCAGGTAATGTCCTTGGAAGTAAAGGCAGCCCGTGTGGTGTTGATTACATCACACATCGAGTGCCAATAGGGCTATAAGTACAAGTGCCCAACATGCCTGAAGTCAGGGAAAAGGGTCCTTTACTTTATTTATATTATCTTTTATACTATCAGAATGACTAGGACAGGCTGAAAACAATTTATCTGGAAAAATGGAAGCATTGAGATATAAATGCTAAATATTGCATTCATTAATTGAAATCATGTGGCAATTTTTTTTTTTTAAACATTCTCAGTATTTTCATTGATACCACATGCAGTCGGACTCTCGTATGTTTCTGGATGTAGACACATTTACAAACAAATCTAAAGCATCAATTTTCCCTATCTAGGCTAGTTATCCACTGTATCTAAAAAATGCTTGAGCTAGGTTCATGGTGCACTTGTCTCAATGGAGGAACACAGAAGAAGGAGAAGAAATACAGGGTTATTCAAACTGGTGGATGATACACTTTCATTCATGCAAATTTCTTTGAATACACATCAATAATCTCATGCGAGAGAGGTAGGAAGGTCTAAAGGTTATAAACTTACAATAGAGGTTATAGATGTTCAATGCGGCCACCATCTGCTGCTCGGCAAACATCTGGGGAGTGCCAGGTATGTTCAGAAAGATCCCAGCCTCCGGTAGAAAAATGTGTCTGGTTATACATGTTTAGCAAAAAGAACTTAACAGCTCCATCAAGACAACACGCCCTCGTTCCTGAAATTGTTTCACTTTCAAATAAAGATTTTTCCTGTGTGGATTCCCGGGTCCCACTGTGGGGGGAAATCAAGAATAGACCCACTGCCTCCTCAACAAGTATGTCAAAGGAGTCGACTAGCATGACAATTTAGATATTGTCAGGGCCCTTTGGGAGCGAGTAAGCAGTGCGGAGGCGCAGATAGATCATTACAGTCTAAGGAGAATGGTGCTGCGAGGAGTTAACAGGGGATTTGCCCGACGCTCAACACTCAGGGGAAGGATGAGTTGGAAATACATTCAAAGCGGTTACTGGTACCATCGGAATTGGAACTCTTCTCTTGCTGCTGAAGAGGGGGGACTAAGCACTTATGGAAGTGTCCCAAGTGTTGTGATGTCATTTCTCAATTCAACAAGGAGTCATCTAAATCGGGAATTCCTTGAAGTCGGAGTTCATCCGCTTGAGTGGCAAACAACCAGGAGTCGGCATACAAATAAGTAAAGAACCCTTCAGGGGTAATGGGCACACAGGTCAAGACATATTTTGTAGAGTGTAGACCAACTGGCAGATGGTGGGTGCCACCGGCTCAATGAATATGCTCAAGAAGATCGAGAAGGGTTGCGTATGAAGACAATGAGGAGTCGTCCCTAAAAAGATCTAGGCTGACAAAAATCGGCTTCATATTTCTTCCGGGACATTCTAGTGTAAATGGCAATGAATAAGCTGACGGACTTGCAAGTAATGCTCACGTGGGAAATGGACAAGGCTGATATAGTAAATGCCCTCAGAGAGGCAGCTCGATTAAACAAATCAAGTAATGACCTGGTGTCATAAGTCACTACATGCTGAGGGAGATACTGAAGAGGGGATCTGAGCACTTATGGGCTGGATGATTCGATGTGTGATAATGATGATCTGTTGACTAACAAATTAACTGGCACTAGGTGATGTGGATGAACAACAAAAACTTTCTGCCAAAGTTTACAGCCGGAAGAAGAAGATACACAAAGCATACATCTGCTTTATCAGGCTACCTGCTGTCCCAACATGGCTGTGAATGATTTTTGGCTGCTTGCCAAGCAACATTTAAAAAACACACGAAGAAATCAGAAGTTCAACCAGTCATACAGCTAATTAAAGTGCAAAAGAAGAGACGGTGGCAGTTGCCATAGAGAGAGCCACACCAAACAAATATAATTAACACAGAGTAAGGGGAAAGACCGTGTAAAAGATAGAGCAGCAGCAGCATCAAGAAACCTAAAAATAAATAAAGATAAACTGATGCCATGCATTATAAAGAGCACACAGAAAATCTTTACAATCCTGGCAACATTTTGATCAAAAAGCACAGAGAAAATCCTTACAGTCCTGGAGCTGCACTCCATTCAGAAAAAGACCTTCCTTAAAGACTTCTAATAGTATAGATACCAGTAGAGGTGCCCACAGTCTGAGAAGACTGCCCTTGAAGGAAATTAGTGTGTCATTCGTCCAGGCAATTAATTGTAATATTCATGGCCATAAATTGCATTCAGACCACAAGTCTGTCCTAAAGTTGAAAGAAAGCACCTAGGTAAGTGAATTAGACTCTGCAAAAACAATCACTAGTTTTTATTCTTGGTTTCCATCTTCCCATTCTTCGTCGTTCTGCTCCTGGTTGTCCAGAACCTCCCCGTTATCCAGCGGACCCTGTCTTGCCAGCAACTGCCTCATAGCCTGCATGACAGCATTAACACTCTGCTGTATATTGTGAGGGATACCCCGGACTCCAGTGCCATCAACATCATCTTCATGCTGCCTTCTTCTGGCTTCATCTGCTGGCTCCTGTTGGTTAGAGAAAAAGTAGTTTATATCACATAATTTAGCCAGCTATGGAATTGTCAATGAAACAGACAAACGTTTATCAGCTGTAGAAGTTTCAACCAAACATACAAACATTTACCAGCTGTGGAAGTTTCAGCCAAACATACAAACATTTATCAGCTGTAGAAGTGTCAGCCAAACATACAAACATTTACTAGCTGTAGAACTGTCAGCCAAACATACAAACATTTACAGCTGTGAAAGTTTCAGCCAAACATACAAACATTTACCAGCTGTAGATTTTTTGTCACACGTACGCGGGCGCACACACACACCACGCGGCTCCCATATATTTATATAAATATGTACATATATATTAGAGCCGCTGTGGTGTAGCGGCTAGACTCTCACCTGAGGATCAGTAGGTCTTGGGTTCAGCTGCTGAAACTGAGGAAGTAAAGGCGGCCGACATGATGTTGACCACACCACCCGCCGAGTGCTGACTGGTCTATAAAATATAGGTCTAGCCCTATATGCCCAATACACCTGAAGGTGTGGAAGAGGGTTCTTTACTACATTATATATCTGATACAGTCAGAGCATGGATTCTTCCTTTACTACATTATATATCTGATACAGTCAAAGCACGGATCCTTCCTTTACTACATTATATATCTGATACAGTCAGAGCACGGGTCCTTCCTTTACTACATTATATATCTGATACAGTCAGAGCACGGATCCTTCTTTTACTACATTATATATCTGATACAGTCAGAGCACGGATCCTTCCTTTACTACATTATATATCTGATACAGTCAGAGCAGGGATCCTTCCTTTACTACATTATATATCTGATACAGTCAGAGCAGGGATCCTTCCTTTACTACATTATATATCTGATACAGTCAGAGCACGGATCCTTCTTTTACTACATTATATATCTGATACAGTCAGAGCACGGATCCTTCTTTTACTACATTATATATCTGATACAGTCAGAGCACGGATTCTTCCTTTACTACATTATATATCTGATACAGTCAGAGCACAGATCCTTCCTTTACTACATTATATATCTGATACAGTCAGAGCACAGATCCTTCCTTTACTACATTATATATCTGATACAGTCAGAGCACGGATTCTTCCTTTACTACATTATATATCTGATACAGTCAGAGCACGGATCCCTCTTTTACTACATTATATATCTGATAGTCAGAGCACGGATCCTTCTTTTACTACATTATATATCTGATACAGTCAGAGCACGGATCCTTCTTTTACTACATTATATATCTGATACAGTCAGAGCACGGATCCTTCTTTTACTACATTATATATCTTATACAGTCAGAGCACGGATCCTTCCTTTACTACATTATATATCTGATAGTCAGAGCACGGATCCTTCCTTTACTACAATATATATCTGATACAGTCAGAGCACGGATCCTTCTTTTACAACATTATATATCTGATACAGTCAGAGCACGGATCCTTCTTTTACTACATTATATATCTGATACAGTCAGAGCAGGGATCCTTCCTTTACTACATTATATATCTGATACAGTCAGAGCACGGATCCTTCCTTTACTACATTATATATCTGATACAGTCAGAGCACGGATCCTTCCTTTACTACATTATATATCTGATACAGTCAGAGCACGTATCCTTCTTTTACTATAATATATATCTGATACAGTCAAAGCACGGATCCTTCCTTTACTACATTATATATCTGATACAGTCACAGCACGGATCCTTCCTTTACTACATTATATATCTGATACAGTCAAAGCACGGATCCTTCCTTTACTACAATATATATCTGATACAGTCAGAGCACGGATCCTTCCTTTACTACATTATATATATCTGATACAGTCAGAGCACGGATCCTTCCTTTACTACATTATATATCTGATACAGTCAGAGCACAGATCCTTCCTTTACTACATTATATATCTGATACAGTCAGAGCACGGATCCTTCTTTTACTACATTATATATCTGATACAGTCAGAGCACGGATCCTTCTTTTACTACATTATATATCTGATACAGTCAGAGCACGGATCCTTCCTTTACTACATTATATATCTGATACAGTCAGAGCACGGATCCTTCCTTTACTACATTATATATCTGATACAGTCAGAGCACGGATCCTTCTTTTACTACATTATATATCTGATACAGTCAGAGCACGGATCCTTCCTTTACTACATTATATATCTGATACAGTCAGAGCACGGATCCTGTGCAGTACTTACGTAAGGATTATAGGATGGGAGCAGGGATTGCAACAGGGATCTTAAAATCCCATTGTGATCCTGAGAAGCAACTGTTGGTCTGAAATGTTAAGATACGTACCATAAGTTGTGACACATTAAAATAAAATAAAATAAAACATTAGTGCAAAATAATAGCATACAACTATATTTTAATGGGAAAGCTTGGCAGCAACAGTATAAGTTGGCATGGATAGAAGCAGCGGTGGCATTAAGTGACAGGAAAGTGAAGCATAAATGGTGTAAGGTGACATGAAATGGCAGCACAAATGGTAAAAGGTGACATGAAATAGTAGAATAAATGGTAAAAGATGACATAAAATGGCAGCATAAATGGTGTAAGGTGACAAGAAATGGTAGCATCAATGGTATAAGGTGACATAATTATGGCAGCATAAATGGTAAAAGGTGACATAATTATGGCAGCATAAATGGTAAAAGGTGACATAATTATGGCAGCATAAATGGTAAAAGGTGACATAATTATGGCAGCATGAATGGTAAAAGGTGACATGAATGGTAAAAGGTGACATAATTATAGCAGCATAAATGGTAAAAGGTGACATGAAATGGCAGCATAAATAGCTAGTTCTCCATAAGGTTCTATAACCAGTTCTCTAGAAGGCTCTCCAGCCAGTTCTCTAGCCAGTTCTTTAGAAGGTTCTCTAGCCAGTTCTCCAGCTGTACATGTTTTCATCTTCAATGTCTTGTATCCACCTTCATGGGGGTCTGCCATTGCCTTGTTTGAGAGAAACTGTAGCCTCCAAGGACGTTTTCCTCAAGCAACCATGATGTTTAACATGGCCAAAATACCACCGTTTTGTGGACAAGATGCTGCTGATAAGCCAATTCTTCCCCAACGCTCAGAGGATGTCGGCGATGACAGAATTACAAACAAGAATATGTAAAAATCACTATACTGCAGAGCGTGTCACAAAATATCTATCACACTTGAACAGTAGAGGTTCTGCGTAACACATTTCAACAGGGGTAAGATACTGGACAGGAAATCATACACACATACAGAGAGGAAGAGAGTGACTAGCAGCAACAGGTGGACAGAAAATGTTTTTGCAGTGGTATTCTCACAAAAACGCAGGTTTACCTTGTGGGCCTGCTGTATGATCTGATTGTATCCACCGGTGGAAAGGGGTCATGGTTCAGCACCGGGGTTGTCAAATATTGCTGCAATAAACAAGATGATACTGTGACTGTGAAGGATACTGATTTTTCTATTCAAGATATGTCCTGACAACTTTACGCTGGTTATCCATGTAGCAGCTAAAGTAATAATTAGTCAATACAGCAGTTTGAGAAATACTTCTAAGCGATTGAGATAAAGCATATAAATGAAACCTTGGAACTGAAATACAAAATCGACTACATTCAACAACCGTTGGATTCATTTATTTGCTTCATTTAATCAACTGTTACTGTAGTATGCATCTGATGAGATACAGCGAAATATGCCAGGCAATAAATTGTGCAGTCTATTGTTTGCGTCTTCTTTGTTGAAATTCACAACCGGAAACATTGCTTTGAAATACCAGTCAGGATGACAGGTGAGGAAATACTACTGTATTACATGTGAAGAGATAGATATAGAATAAACATTTCATTAAGGCCTTTATTGGGCCTCTAGGCAGGACCTATATACATATGATGCATTCCTTGGGACTCAAAGAGTTAAGGGGACAAGGCGTTTTATTAATCGACACAGAACAAGCGTCATTAGTCATTTGACACTTGTGGAGCTTTTAAGGATGAGATCAGAGCACTTATGGATCTGTCTGGAGTACTGTGATGATAATTCTTACTAATCACTAAGATAGATATGTATGATGGTTAAGTCAGTATAGCAAATGAAGAAATACCTGTGGCCATACAGGTGAGGAAATACTTACTGTAGTCAAGTCAGTATAACAGGCGACAAAATACTTATTACAGTCAAATATTTCAGTGGAAGAGACAGATATTGTGATGGTCAAGTCAATATAGCAGATGAGAGACAGATATTGTGATGGTCAAGTCAACACAGCAGACGAGAGACAGATATTGTGATGGTCAAGTCAACACAGCAGATGAGAGACAGATATTGTGATGGTCAAGTCAACACAGCAGATGAGAGACAGATATTGTGATGGTCAAGTCAATATAGCAGATGAGAGACAGATATTGTGATGGTCAAGTCAATATAGCAGATGAGAGACAGATATTGTGATGGTCAAGTCAATATAGCAGATGAGAGACAGATATTGTGATGGTCAAGTCAAGTCAACACAGCAGATGAGAGACAGATATTGTGATGGTCAAGTCAACACAGCAGATGAAGAAATACTTACAGCAGATGAAAATAATAATCAAAGGAACACTTACTCGTGGCAGACCAATCCCAGCGATTTCTGACAGGAAGTAGTGCCGCAGTAAGGACAGTGGGGGTGACCTGAAGCGCTGTTTTCGTCTAGACAGTTCCATGTGGTGAAGAAATCAAGTTGAGAAAAACAATTATATAGATGCTGATTTAACATGTTGCTCAAATGTTGTCTTTAATCAAGGCAAATGTTTCTTCTAAACAGAGCTAGCCTGCCTGTAGCCCACTGTGCTCATATTTGTGGTTCAAGGCATGGTCAGATGTGTTGTTGTCTGTGTATGCATCTGCCCACAAATAAACTAGAGCGATAAACACCCTGTGACAAAAGGTGCCACCAATTGGAAGATGATCACCTGCGGAGAAGTCCCCAAAACTGCGTTCAACCGTTAGGTTATATTGCGGCCCCTGGCAGCAGCCAGGATGGGGCTTCAAAATAATAAAAAAATTGCATCCAACAAGGGGGATGACACAGATTATGGCTGATACTTACATATTTACATACAGATGTTAAGATGCTGGGGAATGTATTCAATCTAATGCTTCACACTGTTCGCGTTTACTGATCACTCATTTCATATATCTTTAGATATTTTGAAAATAAGTGTAGATAAACACACTTGAAATGAATTTATTAGTGACCTGTATAAACTGTTGTTTCTAATGATTTTTTCCTGGAATTTCAGTGTAACATATCCCATTAATTGAAAAAATTCCCCGGGCAAGAGAATTAACTCCCTTGTCAATGTCATCCTCATCATCATCAAGCACCTTGCCAGATGACATAGGCATTCATCTCTCTCTCTCCACAGACCCAGGTTCGGTTTGCTCTACAGATGATGCTCCTCTATGCCACCATTCAATCTCCTGGTCTGTCTCTGCTACTGCTGACATTTCTAGATGTCAAGATGTTCTCCAATGCCTTTCTTCCCACAATATGACCAAAGATTACTGGTCCTCTCTTCACTCCGACTGACTATAATTGTTAATTAAGTGACAACCTGTAAATGTAAAGGCAAGAGGATGAACTTCACTGCACTGGGTTTTATCCCCATATAAACCAGTCTCTGTCCACAAAACAGCTAGCTGCTTGCCGAAAGTGTCGCATAGAGCACGACCTCTGTTGCTCTGGCGATGATCCTCAGGGATCTCCAAACAAACTGCATCCGTAAAGTGAACTGAACGGCACCACCTGAAAAGAACCCATAACCTTCAGAGCGCGAGGCAAACAGCCCGACCACTTCACCATAAAGACCCCTTAGTGATAATCTGCGATTCATAAATTCCTGAACTACTCTTCTGCCTCTGCTTCTGGTGGCAGAGGTGAATCCACCAAATCATTTCTTTGACCAGCTTGATCGAAGATGCTTCAGAAGTGGGATGGGAAGTGATCTACATGGATTCATGGGAATAAGATGCCACGGACCATGTTGCAGGAAGAGGGATAACTGGTAGAGAAATGGACAAAGAAGAAAACTACTGCAGATGGGCTAAGAGTGGAATGTCTTAGATGTCATTAAATTCATGGATGGCAACAGTGGTCCCGAAATCCCATGCTCTAATAGCGGAAAATTGTTCTCAACACGGACAGGGCTTGCTTGTCAATTCTCCATCGCCTGTGATTCTCATGCCTTCCAACAACAAAATATAACATTATCGTCTGGAAAGATGCCAACAACAACCAGCTATACAGACAGACAGACACATAAATGAGCTTACAACTTTGGGTAAATTTGCAGACGGGGATCTGTCCCTGTGTCCACGATATCCAGAACTGCTAGAACATTGCGCTCCAACCAGGCAATAACTTCAGGCTCCTTCCAACAGGATGCGCACCGTTTCACGTACAAGGTGACCAGCCGTCTCAGCTCACTAGTACTAAATTTGAAAGAAAAAAAAAATGTGTAAATGAGAATCTTTTCCTTCTGTTATTTCTCCCCGTGGGATGCTGCCTGAAGGTTTGACATGTTCTTTCCCCCTGGGACGCTGTCTGAAGGTTTGACATGTTCTTTCCCCCTGGGATGCTGCCTGAAGGTTTGACATGTTCTTTCCCCCTGGGACGCTGTCTGAAGGTTTGACATGTTCTTTCCCCCTGGGACGCTGCCTGAAGGTTTGACATGTTCTTTCCCCCTGGGACGCTGTCTGAAGGTTTGACATGTTCTTTCCCCCTGGGACGCTGCCTGAAGGTTTGACATGTCTTGTCCTGTTCAAGTAAGGATTTTTTAAGGATCTCTCCATCTTACAAAACACAAGTGATCATCTGCTTGCCCTCTAATGTACATTCCATATAAAGTATATATAAAGTACTTCCCTATTGTTCACTTGCTCCCAAAGAACCTTACAATATCTGGACTGTCAGGCATCAATTTACCCCCAAGTGTTGCAAAACCAGCCAATCTACCTGCCTGTTTGTTTCCCAGCACATCTGCATATCCTAGTGAAAATATCAAAAGGATTGGTTCGTCATGGTCTGAAGAGAATGGTGCAGTGGCAAGTGTCCAGGGAATCTGGCTGGCACTTGGCAGAAAGGCAAGATGGACACACAATCAGACTGTTAATGGTGCCATCAAAAGGGGATTTCTACATTGGCTGTCAAAGATGGGGACGATGCACTTATGGGTAAGTCCTGAGTGCTATATGTCAATTTTTAACTTGACTTAACTCAATGACAAAGTATCAACTGTAACAGAACAGTAGATAATCTGCTAGCTGCCCAACGGCTGCAGGTTTAAATCCACAGAGCAACCATACCTTGAGAGACTGATTCAGTTGGGGGTGAGCAGAAGTTCTGGAAGATATTCAAAACCGAGGCGAACAAATAAGCAGACGTTTAATAAGAATACCACTGGTAACATCAACATGGACTCTTTGCTGGTTACTGAGCAAGAAGACAGAGCATGCGTGGAAATGCCCAGAGTGCAGCGATATCAATTCTTCATTCATTTATTCAAGGTGTGATTTTTTTCACCGACCTTTGTTGCCAAGTTTCATTCAGCCTAAAACGGGTACCGGGAAAAATTACTGATGAATACAGACTTATGTGACCTGACTACATCACCCACTGCATGCTGATTACAAATAAAAATATACAACAACTGACTCATATTGTGAGAAGGAAGTCTTTTTTTTTTATGTGGCTACCTAGGCAGGCCAAACTATACTACATTGGAAACAGACTATACTACATTGGAAACAGACTATACTACATTGGAAACAGACTATACTACATTGGAAACAGACTCATACTACATTGGAAACAGACTATACTACATTGGAAACAGACTATGCTACATTGGAAACAGACTATACTACATTGGAAACAGACTATGCTACATTGGAAACAGACTATGCTACATTGGAAACAGACTATGCTACATTGGAAACAGACTATACTACATTGGAAACAGACTATACTACATTGGAAACAGACTATACTACATTGGAAACAGACTATACTACATTGGAAACAGACTATACTACATTGGAAACAGACTATACTACATTGGAAACAGACTATACTACATTGGAAACAGACTATACTACATTGGAAACAGACTATGCTACATTGGAAACAGACTATGCTACATTGGAAACAGACTATACTACATTGGAAACAGACTCATACTACATTGGAAACAGACTATACTACATTGGAAACAGACTATACTACATTGGAAACAGACTATACTACATTGGAAACAGGACCTGCTGGCTATGACAAAGCTGATGATAACAAACTAAACTCTGTGATGGAAAAATGTAGACTTGACAAACACATTCTTTTTGCAATTTGTCAGTCAGCCGTCTCTAACAGCCATCCAGGGTCATGTCTCAAAACATAACAAACTAACCTGCCTACTGCACTCTACTTACAAAATAAATCATCCTGGGGAAAAAAACATATCAACACAGTTTCCACATCACAGATGCTCGCAGTGAAGACTATATACGGCCAGGTTCTTGTTGCCAAAAATCAGCGGATTTCATTAACGTAATTACTAACTGGAATCAGTCATTACTAGACATTAACCCCTCAGGTCCCATGCAAGTGCTACACGCAGAATGATCTTATTAATGTTATCGTTCGCTGGACTGCCATAACTTGCCATTTACCCCTAGGGTCCCATGCAAGAGCTACACACAGAATGACATCCAATCTTTTCTGCCTCACATATACTTATCTCCAGTTCATGTATTTCATTGACATTGCTCACTCTGTCACATAATTCTTGTGTTGCCAGACCTTCTTTCGGACCACACTGTCAATCCTGTAGACATCGCCTCATCTACAGTCATGTTCTACTTTCTGCCAGGGTTTCCCATTTTTAGCCAATGCTCATCTAAGATCCACCTCTTAACCATTATCAATGTGAATTAGTTTTCCTTTCCCTTTAACTCCCTAAATTTACATCATCACACATTTTTTCACTAAAAAATACTTATAGAAATACAGTCTGGTCTGGCTGCATTTTTACTAGATGGCCAAACCTTTTCATTCTCTCTTCTAATGCAAAAGTCAGTCTCATGGCAGATGCTGCTGCTGTATGTTCTGTGTGAGTGTGTAAACATCAGTACTGACCTATCATTGAGCTCTTCTGTGCTGAAGAAAGAATGGCTGCTGACCCTCTTGTCTGGCTGCACGCTGCACTCATCCAACAGAGGTGTCAGTATCATAGGGAAGAAGAGCAACGAGTCTTGCAACTGAGGAAACATTGGAGGTATTCAGAAAATGATTATCCTTGTAGCCGTTTCTTTCCAATTCCTCTAGAGGAGTGAGGTTTAACTAACATGTTGCATGTCAGATCGCATCAGCTCTGCGAAAATAAAAACAGGCTAGCATCTGCTGGAGTGAGTGGACTGCAATGTTGAGCTGAGCTGACTGAAGGCACTGGTCAATAAAAAAAAAAAACACTTCAATGGGGATTTGAACCCATAACCTTAGTCAGCAGGCAAGAATGCTAGCCACTGCTACAGAACACCTACACATGATGATAACAAGTGTATTAAAGGCCTCTTGTCTGACACAGAGAGTTTTGCCACAGATATCGGGGTCAGCTCAACTGACAGCAATGAGTACAGAGTTCGTCCACTAGGACTGGAATGTTTAACTGAGGGTCTGCTGAGGGTCATATTTGTGTTGTCATGAAAAGACCTACTGCCCCCCCCCCCCCCCCCAACAAGCTTGTCGTACAATGTGACCTATTAGGGGCCTTCCTTCAAAGTAGGAGTGTCTCTGCCTGAGAGGTGAGGAGCCAGATGTATAAAACAGTTGTGTGTGTAAAACAGATGTGTGTGTAAAACAGATGTGTGTGCAAAACTCAGGTTCTGGAACAAGAGTAAAGTCCAGAAGTGAGGAAAAACTGCTGGAAGTGGATAGGACAATTTTTTTCATAACAGTATGGCCAGAGTTCCTTTATATGAGAATCCACAGAGCAAAAGTGAACGAACAAAAATTATTTTCAAAGGGTCACAAATTGGACATGCAGACCCATCTTATGTTCGGCCCTTCCCAACACTCAATTGGTCCACACCACAACTGCATCAATAAACATGTTATATTCATATAACAATATACCTAATATGAATATCATGAAAAAAACACAAAGGTATAGATGGTATGTGCATGACACCCACACATACATTCATACATAGATACATACATACACACATGCATGCATACATACACACATGCATTTGTACCTACCTATATTCACAAACATAGAAGGAGAGCTACAAAGCATATAGCAGAATAATTAGGGACAGAAATCAATACTTTTTGTGGACTATGATTGCCTGTATTTAACATCATCATCAATTTCCACTGTTGCCTTTAAGCATCATGTGGGGGAACAGTTTGGAATCCACTGTTGTGATTAAGCATCATGTGGGGGAACAGTTTGGAATCCACTGTTGTGATTAAGCATCATGTGGGGGAACAGTTTGGAATCCACTGTTGTGATTAAGCATCATGTGGATGGACAGTTTGGAATCCACTGTTGTGATTAAGCATCATGTGGGGGAACAGTTTGGAATCCACTGTTGCCGTTAAGCATCATGTGGGGGAACAGACTGGGACCCACTGATGTGTTGGTAGCACTGGCTAATGTCAAGCTGCATGGATGTAGAATGTAGAATGTAGAATGTCTTCTATGTTAACAATTCAAGCTTTCACATCAGGTATTTTTACATTCAGTTCTACTTCAGGTAAGGGTTATGGCTGCATTCTAACGAGATGACTGAACCATTCAGTTTTCGCTTTTAAATGAATTTGTTGCAAGGTGTTCCTACAATCTGTCTAACAATATCATTTCTCGCTCAGTCTCAAATGGTAAAGCCAGCGGTTTTCCCTAGGCATCTCATCTCGTATCTGTTAATGTATTCAGTATGGACTATGATACATTTTTTTTTTCAAACAATATTTATGATTTTAGGGAGCCGTGCAAGTGGAGCAGCTAAACACTAGCCTACAGATCTGAAGGTCATGGGTTCAAATCTGAACGGTGCTGGATTTGTTACTTTGGCTGCCAGAGAGACCTAGCCTTCAATGGGTACAGGTAAATTTATTGGAAAGAAAAAGCGGCCAGCGTGATGTTAGCCACATCACCCACCACATGCTGACCTGAACAGTCTATAAAATACAGGTCTAGCCCTATATGCCCAATACACCTGAAGGTGTGGACAAGGGCCCTTTACTTACTTATATGTTTCCCACGTGAATTCCGGGGCCCTATTACAGGGAAAACAAAAATAGACCCACTGCCTGCCCAAAAGCATGTCGTAAGAGTAGACTAATTAGGAGCTCCTTCAAAGTCGGAGTGCATCTGCCTGAGAGGCAAGGGACCAACAGTCTACATACAAATTATTCAGATCTGTCAAACAGATGCACACGCAACATTCAGGTTCTGGTACAGGACTGCAGTCCAGAAGTGGGCGAACAACCAGAACTTTCAGCCGGAGTTCACAGCTGGTGATAGCAAAGAAGACATGTGTCATTTTAGTTCGAAATATAAAGACAAATGTGCGTGAGGTCAGACAACAATTTTACAAAGGAACAACTGCCAAACAGACCTTCTGATCTGCAGTTTTGGTATCTTCAGTATCTCGGCTCTCAATTTTGAAATAAGCCAGAGGAATAGAAAGTGCAAAATTGGGCACCTGTCGCATGCTATCCTGGCTCTGTGGACAACAAGTAAAAATCACAAGATATCGCTTCTTGTAATAACATGTCTTCAATATGTCTCCTACCACGCTAGACTTCAACTAAATTATTTATCAAACCACACAGTATGTTTAAAAAAAAAAAAATTGTAACTGTTTTACAGAGCATATGGTACTAACTCCTTATTTTAAAGGCAAAGAATACAAAGATGGCGAATATCACGATGGGATGACTTCACTTACTTTCCAGGAAATTCCCTCGACCTATTTTAGGTTGGGCTTCTAGTTGAAACCATATGAAACTTACTTGATTTACTTAATTTTAGTAAAATTACTAAATTTTAGACAAAGCTCATAATTGTTTGGCTAAACTACTAAAGTCATGAGTGTCAATCTGCGTTAACTGGGTTTTTTTGTTTGTTTGTTTGTTGCAAAAATGACTTTGGCTTCCAGGTTGACTCAGCGTAAAATGGGTACAGGGTAAAGTGCTGGGAAGTAAAGGTGGTCGACACGAGGATGGCCACATCCCCCAATGAGTGCCCATTGCTCCAAAAATATAGCTCTAGCCCTATATGCCCAATGTAATATTTACCACTTTGGGGCACGGGGGGCGCGGGGCATGGGGGCCGCGGGGCGTGGGGAGGATGAGCTAAGGATTTAAAGTGGCAAGGCTAGTGCTGTTGCCACACAATGTACAGGTTTAGGTTCTAATTTCTATTTTAGCCCGGACAGAAAAATGTCTCTAGCCTTTAGCCTTTACTGGTGGGGGGGGGGGGGTGGGGGGGGGGGGGGGGGGTGGGCGCAGTGCTCTAACCACTTAGCCAGCTGCTCCTGGGCAGGACTTTATAAAACACAGAATTGTTTAATACGATCATAATTAAGTTTCTGAGACATAAGTTTTCTTTCACAATGAAACAATTTTTTTAAAGAACTGTCAAATATTTTTGTGAGCTATGTAAATTTAGTGAAGGTGGGGTAGTGTAGAGGTCAGGTCCTTGCCTGAAGCTCTTGAATTCAAATCCGCATAAAGCAGAATTTGTTTCTCTCCCAAACTGATCGTTGCTCCCAGGTCAATCCAGCTCAAAATGGGGACCAGGTAATTTCCTGGGAAGTAAAGGTGGCTGATGTGATGTTGACCACATCAGCCTCCAGTACAGATGGGTCTAGCATCATATACCCAGTGTGGCACTGGTGTAATCTGGGTCCTTTAGTTAGTGACTCACTAAAGAAAACTAGGACATTAAAACAGGTCAACCTATTGCTGCAACTAACCAGAACTTCCTGCTCCAGCTGAACTAGGTGCTCAAACTGCTCGCTGCGCAGCGCATAGTAATCTATCATGCTCATACAGTCCAGTGGGTCACTGTCAGGGTCAAGGCTGCAACAGAACAGATACTTCGACTTATATAACATCAATGGCTTTTGGGAACAGTTTGTATTCATATATCTATACTCACATGTGTTGATGTGTGACCAGGGGAACAGTTTGTATTCATATATCTATACTTACATGTGTTGATGTGTGACCAGGGGAACAGTTTGTATTCATATATCTATACTCACATGTGTTGATGTGTGACCAGGGGAACAGTTTGTATTCATATATCTATACTCACATGTGTTGATGTGTGACCAGGGACAACAAGGAAACATGTTGATGTGTGACCAGGGACAACAAGGAAACATGTTGATGTGTGACCAGGGACAACAAGGAAACATGTTGATGTGTGACCAGGGACAACAAGGAAACATGTTGATGTGTGACCAGGGACAACAAGGAAACATGTTGATGTGTGACCAGGGACAACAAGGAAACATGTTGATGTGTGACCAGGGACAACAAGGAAACATGTTGATGTGTGACCAGGGACAACAAGGAAACATGTTGATGTGTGACCAGGGACAACAAGGAAACATGTTGATGTGTGACCAGGGACAACAAGGAAACATGTTGATGTGTGACCAGGGACAACAAGGAAACATGTTGATGTGTGTGACCAGGGACAACAAGGAAACATGTTGATGTGTGACCAGGGACAACAAGGAAACATGTTGATGTGTGACCAGGGACAACAAGGAAACATGTTGATGTGTGACCAGGGACAACAAGGAAACAGAGAATATTAACACTGCAACCTACAATGCAGCAATGGGACAGCTAGCCCCCTCCCCCCACACACATACACAAAACAATCCTGATCAGCACAAATAAACATCTCATACAGAGCATATTCATTCCCATTCCTTGCTACCAGTGCCAGACATGGTCACTCGCAAAAGACCAAATTAGAAAATTAGTAATTGAGAAAATGAGATGTCAGAGAAGGGCTGCAGGGGGTGGCCAAAAGAGATAAAATAAAAAATGAGGTTATAAGAGAAAAGATTGGCACAGAACCAATTCTAAACTGCATACAAAGACAGCATATCAAATGGTTTGCCCACTTGTGGCGCTATACCATACAAGGCATTCACCAAAAGAGAAGGATGTAGAGCACAAGGTAGACCAAGAACAAGATGGAAAGATAAGATCAGAAAAAATACAACAACACAATGTCTCTATGATAGAGGCAGCCAGAAGAGCAAGATACAGAACCTTATATCTCCCTCGACATTCAAAGCGGTAAAAGAGGAAGCGAAGAAGAAGAAAAACCTACAATGTATGGCCGTAAGTGAATTCTAAGACTATCTCATCCTATAAGAAAAAAAAAATTAAGCTACAAATTCAAATTAAGAGCAAATCAACCATGAATCTGGCATGGCGTTGGCTGTGGGCCTATGCTACATTAGAAACTGACAAGCAGACTCCTTGTGTGGCTTTCTTCCTTAACAAGCATGCGAAAAAAGGCATTTAAATTAGCTTGAATCAACCGTTTGTTGAAATCAGATGTGTTGGGCCACGAGGTGCAGAGATCATATCCTAGCTATAAACTACAACGTAATGTCCTGTCTCCCTTTTAAGTGCGTATGTAGAAGAAGGACACAATTCAACCCAGCAGGCCAAGAACACTTTCCCCGAGCAATGCTTTTCTTTCAATAATAAAAGATACCAATACTTACCACAAAGTGTCCAAAAAGGGAGTTGGTACCCAAGACAAAAAGTCTGTTAAGTTAGTAATGACAGAAATAATGTCCTAAAAAGAAGCCGGTACTTCGTATAACAAGAAAAAAAACCTGGTCACGAGCATGATCACTGTCCCGAGCACAAAGACCCCATCACCCCTCAAGTGTTGACTGACCCATCACCCCTCAAGTGATGACTGACCCATCACCCCTCAAGTGTTGACTGACCCATCACCCCTCTAGTGTTGACTGACCCATCACCCCTCAAGTGTTGACTGACCCATCACCCCTCAAGTGTTGACTGACCCATCACCCCTTAAGTGCTGACTGACCCATCACCCCTCAAGTGCTGACTGACCCATCACCCCTCAAGTGATGACCGACCCATCATCCCTCAAGTGTTGACTGACCCATCACCCCTCAAGTGTTGACCGACCCATCACCCCTCAAGTGATGACTGACCCATCATCCCTCAAGTGTTGACTGAACCATCACCCCTCAAGTGATGACTGACCCATCATCCCTCAAGTGTTGACTGACCCATCACCCCTCAAGTGTTGACTGACCCATCATCCCTCAAGTGTTGACTGACCCATCACCCCTCAAGTGCTGACTGACCCATCGTCCCTCAAGTGTTGACTGACTCATCACCCCTCAAGTGATGACTGACCCATCACCCCTCAAGTGTTGACTGACCCATCACCCCTCAAGTGTTGACTGACCCATCACCCCTCAAGTGCTGACTGGTCTACAGCGGTTCTCAATCTGCTGGTCGTGACCCTATTTTTGGGTTGAACAACAATTTCTCAGGGGTCATCTAAGACCATTGGAAAACATATATTTATTGAAGTTATTAAGGGAAATAATTGTTTGAGGGTCGCCACAACATCAGGGAACTGTTTTAAAGGGTCGCAGCATTAGGAAGGCTGGGCACTGGTCAAAAGAACATCGGTCAAGCAACAAATGCCTGTTCAACCAATGGCGTGAAAAGGATCCTTTACTTTTGGCTTCTTCTTGTTCAATATTTGGAGCTGCTGAGGTTCGGTGATGCAGATAACAACCTTTCGACACCATGCAGTAGGTCCTTTGTAGAACATCGATGTCACAATGGTTTACCTGAAAGAAACTTAGTCTCTAGCCAGCTATCTTGCCTAATGTACTTCCCTACACAAGTTCTCACTTATATCCTGTGCTCATCTTCAAGCTGGTTGGCCCCCGCTCCTCTTTACTGATACCATGCCTTCTGCTATTACTTTATCCCAATTCGCCATGGTGCTTGATATGGCCTAAATATTTTCTGAGACAAGATGCTATTTACTAGTTAATCTTCCTGATGTTCAGTTCTTTAAGGAAGTCAGTATTTCTTTTCTTCTCTTAGAATCTTTCTTTAGCATTTCAGCTCCAAAAGCCCCTATTTTCTTACTTAAGAACTGTTAAGAACTATCACCTCTATCTTATTTAAACTTCTAGTTACTAAAAACACCAGTCAAGTAAGTGTCTACTTACCTGAGAAGAAGTTTACAGAATTCAAAGGCTGTCCTATTACAGCCTCTCCGACCCAAGTTCAGGATGTGTTTAAACAAACACAAAAATAGAGCCCTGCAAGTGGAAGAAACAACACCAACATAAAACTTGAGATCAACATCATGTATTTTGCTGAAATACATAAGTTTTCAAGTCTCTGCACAGATCTTCAGCCTAAGTTCTACAGATAACATTCCTTTATAACTGTCTTAAACTATCCAGCACCATTTCTTCTCTTCTGCCTCTGCTTCTTTCACCACTGATTTTGTTCAGCCTACATAATGTTTTATAATGCCAAAAATAATTGTCATGAATCTGCTGTATGATGATGATGGTATTCTTATACTGCCATCAGTTTTCTAAGCTCAAGGGTACAAAGAGCTGAAGGGAAAATAAATTCTGCGAAACCCCACTCACCTGTTCTCCACTCTCTTGTAACTGAGGTAGCAGTTTCCCGCAGCCAGGTTGAGCAACGGATGAAATGCACACTCTAAGCCATAGAGCGCTTTCTCTAAGGAAGAGAGATATCATATGGAAAAATTAGAGATGATTCTGACATCTACACGTATGTTTCATCACCGTCCTGCTGTGTTTTTATACGTCAATTGCTTAATCAGTTTGTCTCCTTAAGGATGCTACTTAAAGGTTTACCATACTATCCTGAGACTTTTTCAAAATCTCACGCTGGACGGCGGACCAATCAAGCAGATTCCATATTTCCTGTTCATCTCATGCTGGATGGCAGACCAATCAGGCAGATTCCATATTTCCTGTTCATCTCACGCTGGACGGCAGACCAATCAGGCAGATTCCATATTTCCTGTTCATCTCACGCTGGACGGCGGACCAATCAAGCAGATTCCATATTTCCTGTTTATCTCACGCTGGACGGCGGACCAATCAAGCAGATTCCATATTTCCTGTTCATCTCACGCTGGACGGCGGACCAATCAAGCAGATTCCATATTTCCTGTTCATCTCATGCTGGATGGCAGACCAATCAAGCAGATTCCATATTTCCTGTTCATCTCATGCTGGATGGCAGACCAATCAGGCAGATCCCAGATATCATGTTCATCTCACGCTGGATGGTGGACCAATCAGGCAGATCCCAGATATCCTGTTCATCATTGCTTTTATTTCTTGAATTCACCCCATTTAATGTTCATCAATTTCCTTGGGTATTTGCTTTTAGCTTTTGTCCCATGTGTTCAGTATTTCTCCAATCTTCCAGATATATATGTTAAAACAGAAATAACAATAGAACTGAAAATATGTAACTTGTTTGAGTGTGCAAATCTGGCACCCAAATGCTTGCACTGACAGTTATTCTTGTGTAGACTTACCAATGGATTCTGCTGCCGTCTGATAGTCCTCATTTATCCGGTGAAGATCGGCCATCTGGATCAACGAGTCAATGTGGTACGGGTTTTCCCTCAAGACATTCTTAAAGTAAAAATATTTAAAAATTGTCACAACATATGGTACTATTGTCACAACATATGGTACTATTGTCACAACATATGGTACTATTGTCACAACATATGGTACTATTGTCACAACAAATGGTACTATTGTCACAACATATGGTACTACTGTCACAACATATGGTACTATTGTCACAACATATGGTAATGCTATCACAACATATGGTACTATTGTCACAACATATGGTACTATTGTCACAACATATGGTACTATTGTCACAACATATGGTACTATTGTCACACAATATGGTACTATTGTCACAACATATGGTACTATTGTCACAACATATGGTACTATTGGCACAACATATGGTACTATTGTCACAACATATGGTACTATTGTCACAACATATGGTTCTATTGTCACAACAAATAGTACTATTGTCACAACATATGGTACTACTGTCACAACATATGGTTATATTGTCACAACATATGGTACTATTGTCACAACATATGGTATTATTGTCAGAAAATATGGTTCTATTGTCACAACATATAGTACTATTGTCACAACATATGGAACTATTGTCACAACATATGGTACTATTGTCACAACAAATAGTACTATTGTCACAACATATGGTACTACTGTCACAACATATGGTACTATTGTCAGAAAATATGGTTCTATTGTCACAACAAATAATACTATTGTCACAACATATGGTACTATTGTCACAACATATGGTACTATTGTCACAACATATGGTAATACTATCACAACAAATAGTACTATTGTCACAACATATGGTACTACTGTCACAACATATGGTACTATTGTCAGAAAATATGGTTCTATTGTCACAACAAATAATACTATTGTCACAACATATGGTACTATTGTCACAACATATGGTACTATTGTCACAACATATGGTAATACTATCACAACATATGGTACTATTGTCACAACATATTGTACTATTGTCACAACATATGGTACTATTGTCACAACAGATGGTACTACTTTCAAAAAGCTTATTCTTTGTTTATAAAAATTTTTGCCTGTTTTGTTTAAATGCAGAGACATGCTGGCCATTGTAGAAGACCACACCCTCCTGGGCATCTGCCTTAGAGGCAAAGAACCAACAGTGTACGTTTAAACCAAAAATTGAACAGACATGTAAAATGGATGTGCATTCAAAACTCAAGCTATGGAACAAGACTAAAGTCAAGAAGTGGACAAACAACCAGCACTTCTGTCAGAATGCACAGTTGTGGGAGTCGCTGTGGTGTAGCGGCTAGATGCTCACCTGCCAATCCAAAGTTGAAGGGTTCAGATCCAGACTATTTGTCAAAAATCACCTTGGCTCCAAGGTCAAGCTAGCTTTAAATGGGTACCAGGTAAAGCTCTGGGAAGCAAACGTGGCTGGCGTTAAGCTGACCACACCACTCACCAAGCGCTGATTTGTCTACAAAATATAGGTCTAGCCCTATATGCCTGAGAACGTGAAAAAGGGTGCTCTACTTACTTGTTTACTTACAGCTGCTGAATGCTGAAAAGACAAAAGAAATGTAATCCACAAAATTATAATTACTACTAAAAATCAATTTCCCTGCATCAGCATAGGCCCTATATGGACAATAAATAGTGCCCTAGAACAGAAGAGAACTACATGATAAATGCCCTGTCTCCGTAATTTCACTAACAACAAAAGAATGGACAGGGTTATGAATACCAGCATTAGAGAGACATTTGGAATAAGACCATGTCTGAATTATATTGACAGAATAAAATGGTTCAGCCATCTAGTGAGACTGCAGTCAGACCAAACTGCATATGAGACTTTCTTTAAACAGAACATCGGAGTGGAGGGCAAGGGGAAGACCAAGAAACATATGGATAAATAATGTAGCAGAAACCTGAAAAAGATGAACAAACCATCACCCAAGTCACCACAGAAGCACCAGACAAATACAGAAAACTACGACACTGGGAAACAGCCTGGTATCAGTGAGATGACAAAAGAAGAAGCAGAAGTATAAGCCCACAAGGGCTCCGTCTCTTGCTACACAACCAATCAATGATAGCAACACAGAACAACTTACAACTATATTATCTGGATGTCCAGAATCAACAGCATCAGCAAATTTATGCTGCAGTTTCTGATAAGCGGGTGAATGCTCAAAGACAAACTCTTTCGTCTGGTCGAGGTACTTCATGGACAACCCTGCAGACACAACAAAAACACTGTAAACAAAAGTTACTGGTGTCTCCATTTTGTCTGCTTTATGATAAGTGAATCTGTTTGTAATGGGAGATGTAATGAACAGTCACACATATATGTAATGGGAGATGTAATGAACAGTCACACATTTATGTAATGGGAGATGTAATGAACAGTTACACATATATGTAATGGGAGATGCCAACAAATCAGTCCTACAATCATGTCCTTGATGTCAACAGATCAGTCCCACAATGATGTCATGGGAGATGTCAACAAACCAGTCCCACAATCATGTCATAGAAGATGTCAATTAATCAATCACACAATGACATCATGGGAGATGTCAACAAATCAGTCCCACAATGATGTCAGAGGTGATGTCAACAAATCAGTCACACAATGATGTCAGAGGTGATGTTAACAAATCAATCACACACTGATGTCAGAGGAGATGTCAACAAATCAGTCCCACAATGATGTCAGAAGTGATGTCAACAAATCAGTCACACAATGATGTCAGAGGTGATGTCAACAAATCAATCACACACTGATGTCAGAGGTGATGTCAACAAATCAGTCACACAATGATGTCAGAGGTGTTGTCAACAAATCAGTCCCACAATGATGTCATATGAGATGTCAACAAATCAGTCACACAATGATGTCAGAGGTGATGTCAACAAATCAGTCACACAATGATGTCAGAGGAGATGTCAACAAATCAGTCACACAATGATGTCAGAGGAGATGTCAACAAATCAGTCACACAATGATGTCAGAGGAGATGTCAACAAATCAATCACACACTGATGTCAGAGGTGATGTCAACAAATCAGTCACACAATGATGTCAGAGGTGTTGTCAACAAATCAGTCCCACAATGATGTCATATGAGATGTCAACAAATCAGTCACACAATGATGTCAGAGGTGATGTCAACAAATCAGTCACACAATGATGTCAGAGGAGATGTCAACAAATCAGTCACACAATGATGTCAGAGGAGATGTCAACAAATCAGTCACACAATGATGTCAGAGGAGATGTCAACAAATCAGTCACACAATGATGTCATAGGTGATGTCAACAAATCAGTCACACAATGATGTCATGGGAGATGTCAAAAAATATGTCACACAGATATTATGGCAGATGTCAACAGATCATCCCCATATGCAACAGAAAACAACACAAACATTTGTTCTACCTGAACCACCGGTGCTGTGCCAAGTGTCCTTGACCTGAACTAGTCGACTGCTGCGTTGTAATGGTCTATTTCTGTGTCTCCGATTCCTAGACAAGCATTTGTTGAGTTTATAACTGACAGGCATAAAAAGACACAGGCAGACATAAAGACATACACACATACACTTCAGTTTCTGCTAGGCCGCATCACATATTGATCACATATTGCTGTCTTCTGGGTTACTTCTGTTACTTCTTCATGTTCTTCTTTCTTTTCCTCGCCATCATCATCTTCTCATATTCTTCAGTCATTCATTTCTCAAAACTGGCAGGACCAAACAAATTATAATGATACCACATGTGTAAGGAAGCAGCTGTGGTGTAAGGAAGCAGCTGTGGTGTAAAGAAGCAGCTGTGGTGAAAGGAAGCAACTGTGGTGAAAGGAAGCAGCTGTGGTGTAAGTAGCAGCTGTGGTGTAAGGAAGCAGATGTGGTGAAAGGAAGCAGCTGTGGTGTAAGGAAGCCGCTGTGGTGTAAGGAAGCAACTGTGGTGTAATGAAGAAGCTGTGGTGTAAGGAAGCAACTGTGGTGTAATAAAGCAGCTGTTGTGTAAGGAAGCAACTGTTGTGTAAGGAAGCAACTGTGGTGTAAGGAAGCAACTGTGGTGTAAGGAAGCAACTATGGTGTAGCAGCTAGACACTCCCTAGTGGTTCTGTTGGCAAAATACTTTTGTTCAAAAATGACTGACTCCCATATCGACCCAGAATAAATGGGTACTAGAAAAATCATGGGAAGTAAAAGCAGCCAATGTTATGTTATACATTGCCCATCGAGAGCCGACTGGTCTATAAAAAACAGTCTAATCTATATACTTTACTTACCATATGGTGTGAACTGTTAAATTTTTCTGTGTTATTTAATCAATGGGCTATCCTCCGAATAATGGGCACTAAAGATGGCGGCCACAAAATATCTTTTCGAGCCTCAGTTACATGTCAATTGCGCACTTCCGGCAACTTAATTTGCGTTTTTTTTTTTTGCAACTACCGCCACCGCCATGATTGGAGCTAAACTAGATGGCTAGGACTCACAAGCAAAGCTGCAGGAGATGCAGAAGCTGCTGCTCGTGGGTCCTAGCCATCTAGGGAAAGGGGATGGAAATACCTGAGCTTGAGTATTTAAGGTCACATGACATGGCTACAGAGGCCGTCATAGACTGTAAAGGTTACGATTTCCATGACCTTAATGAGATTCAAACCTGGGTCTTTTTTTATTTGTAACCCCTCAGCCAGCTGCTGAGCGTTCACTAATTATCCTAAACTGTATTTAAGCCTCCCCCTGTCTGATAGAGAACAAACACAGTAACACCTTGGCCCCAGTAGTAGCTTAAATTTCTATGGCAATCTCAAAGAGTCAACAATAACATTACGTAACAGGCCACACAAACTTTAATGCCTTAAAAAAGATTCTTACAGCTAACATACTCGTCACATGTGTGACGTGATTTTATGGTTTCATATATTTTGTTCCAATTCATTCATAAAAATAAGTTTGTTTCAAACCAACTCCAGCATTTGCTGGCCGCTGGTGATTTTACAAGGCAGCTGTACAATCAGTAGTTTGCCACCGCTGTATTAACGGTTTCCGGATAACATTATTAATATCAACACAAAGCAGTCTTGGTTTATAAGTGGAATATATTATCTATATGCTTTTTGAATTCTGTTCACCCTGCCTAGGGTTCTAGTGAAGTATGTACACGAGTGTGTGCCTGGGGTTCTAGTGAAGTATGTACACGAGTGTGTGCCTGGGGTTCTAGTGAAGTATGTACATGAGTGTGTGCCTGGGGTTCTAGTGCAGTATGTACATGAGTGTGTGCCTGGGGTTCTAGTGAAGTATGTACATGAGTGTGTGCCTGGGGTTCTAGTGAAGTATGTACATGAGTGTGTGCCTGGGGTTCTAGTGAAGTATGTACATGAGTGTGTGCCTGGGGTTCTAGTGAAGTATGTACATGAGTGTGTGCCTGGGGTTCTAGTGAAGTATGTACATGAGTGTCTGCCTGGGGTTCTAGTGAAGTATGTACATGAGTGTGTGCCTGGGGTTCTAGTGAAGTATGTACACAGGTGTGTGCCTGGGGTTCTAGTGAAGTATGTACATGAGTGTGTGCCTGGGGTTCTAGTGAAGTATGTACATGAGTGTGTGCCTGGGGTTCTAGTGAAGTATGTACATGAGTGTGTGCCTGGGGTTCTAGTGAAGTATGTACATGAGTGTGTGCCTGGGGTTCTAGTCAAGTATGTACATGAGTGTGTGCCTGGAGTTCTAGTGAAGTATCTACATGAGTGTGTGCCTGGGGTTCTAGTGAAGTATGTACATGAGTGTGTGCCTGGGGTTCTAGTGAAGTATGTACATGAGTGTGTGCCTGGGGTTCTAGTGAAGAATGTACATGAGTGTGTGCCTGGGGTTCTAGTGAATCATGTACAAGAGTGTGTGCCTGGAGTTCTAGTGAAGTATGTACATGAGTGTGTGCCTGGGGTTCTAGTGAATCATGTACATGAGTGTGTGCCTGGGGTTCTAGTGAAGTATGTACACAAGTGTGTGCCTGGGGTTCTAGTGAAGTATGTACAAGAGTGTGTGCCTGGAGTTCTAGTGAAGTATGTACATGAGTGTGTGCCTGTTACTTCTTCATAAGAATCTAACATGTCTTTTTATTTCACATCAACTTACCTGCCTGGGGTTCTAGTGAATCATGTACATGAGTGTGTGCCTGGGGTTCTAGTGAATCATGTACATGAGTGTGTGCCTGGGGTTCTAGTGAAGTATGTACATGAGTGTGTGCCTGGGGTTCTAGTGAAGTATGTACACGAGTGTGTGCCTGGGGTTCTAGTGAAGTATGTACATGAGTGTGTGCCTGGGGTTCTAGTGAAGTATGTATACGAGTGTGTGCCTGGGGTTCTAGTGAAGTATGTATACGAGTGTGTGCCTGGGGTTCTAGTGAAGTATGTACACGAGTGTGTGCCTGGGGTTCTAGTGAATCATGTACAAGAGTGTGTGCCTGGGGTTCTAGTGAAGTATGTACACGAGTGTGTGCCTGGGGTTCTAGTGAATCATGTACATGAGTGTGTGCCTGGAGTTCTAGTGAAGTATGTACACGAGTGTGTGCCTGGAGTTCTAGTGAAGTATGTACACGAGTGTGTGCCTGGGGTTCTAGTGAATCATGTACATGAGTGTGTGCCTGGGGTTCTTAGGAAGTATGTACATGAGTGTGTGCCTGTTACTTCTTCATAAGAATCTAACATGTCTTTTTATTTCACATCAACTTACCTGCCTGGGGTTCTAGTGAATCATGTACATGAGTGTGTGCCTGGGGTTCTAGTGAATCATGTACAAGAGTGTGTGCCTGGAGTTCTAGTGAAGTATGTACATGAGTGTGTGCCTTGGGTTCTAGTGAATCATGTACATGAGTGTGTGCCTGGGGTTCCTGGGGTTCTAGTGAAGTATGTACATGAGTGTGTGCCTGGGGTTCTAGTGAAGTATGTACAAGAGTGTGTGCCTGGGGTTCTAGTGAAGTATGTACAAGAGTGTGTGCCTGGGGTTCTAGTGAAGTATGTACAAGAGTGTGTGCCTGGGGTTCTAGTGAAGTATGTACATGAGTGTGTGCCTAGGGTTCTAGTGAAGTATGTACATGAGTGTGTGCCTGGGGTTCTAGTGAAGTATGTACATGAGTGTGTGCCTGGGGTTCTAGTGAAGTATGTACATGAGTGTGTGTCTGGGGTTCTAGTGAAGTATGTACATGAGTGTGTGCCTGGGGTTCTAGTGAAGTATGTACACGAGTGTGTGCCTGGGGTTCTAGTGAAGTATGTACATGAGTGTGTGCCTGGGGTTCTAGTGAAGTATGTATACGAGTGTGTGCCTGGGGTTCTAGTGAAGTATGTACACGAGTGTGTGCCTGGGGTTCTAGTGAATCATGTACAAGAGTGTGTGCCTGGGGTTCTAGTAAAGTATGTACACGAGTGTGTGCCTGGGGTTCTAGTGAATCATGTACATGAGTGTGTGCCTGGAGTTCTAGTGAAGTATGTACACGAGTGTGTGCCTGAAGTTCTAGTGAAGTATGTACACGAGTGTGTGCCTGGGGTTCTAGTGAATCATGTACATGAGTGTGTGCCTGGGGTTCTTAAGAAGTATGTACATGAGTATGTGCCTGTTACTTCTTCATAAGAATCTAACATGTCTTTTTATTTCACATCAACTTACCTGCCTGTCTGTTCTCCACGTACAACCTCTGAACCAAATAACCTCTTCAGTTCTGTCTCAGCATTCAGATTCCTGTTTGGACATTTAAAAACTGCAATAGAGTAAAGATTTTAATGACACAATAAAAATAAGAACCGGCAAGATGGCAAGAGAAGAAATAACCAAAATATTCTTTTTTTTTTCTTCAAATATTGTAATAAGGCTTCAGAACACATCACTAAACTATAAACATAACTTTGTGATTTCCATAAACTTATCCGTGAAAAAAAATATAAATAAACACACAGGCGTGAACATGAACTGTTCTAAAACACCAACCTTGACAATGCTGCTTACCGGTAGTCAATGTGTAAAAGAGGTTTTGCGTTCGTACTGAAGATAACACTGCTGTTTTCCGGCCTGGTGGCGCCCCCTGGGTCACCCAGAAGTCGGTTTACTTCCTGCACACTTGCTTCAACCTCATCAACTGGCTCCTGACCATAAAACAGACTGTACATTACAACATGTTAGAGCTCCACCTGGGGTCTGGGAGGCCACATTTTACGGCAATGTCCCCTTAACAAGCATGCCATAAAAGGGGACTGACATTTTGTTGAAATCAGACGTGTTAGACCAAAATGTTAGGACATCGAAGCCTAGCTGTAAACTTCATTACTATGTGCAAGCACCCTGTTAAGGGCAAATGCACAAGAAGAAGACAAAGCAGGAGAAGAAGAAGAAAAAAGGAGAAGAAAATGGAGGAAGAGAAGGAGGAAGAGGGGAAAGAATGAGGAGAAGAAGAAGAGGAAGCACAAGAAGAATAAAGAAGACATGTTTCTGTGACCATGTGGTTAAGCTAGCTGCCTCAGGATATGACTACTGTGGTCTAAAGGTCAGACTCCACTCTTCGATTCAAAAGTCTTACAACTGTTCATGTTACAAGATAATTATCACCCCTCTCTTGTTTGCCTAGAAAGAAACTAAAAATTGTATGGAGATTATCACTTGATATTTCAACAGAAGAAGTCACATCAACATAGTTATAGGATCACTGGCTAAAGAAAAAACTCACTCTTGTTGTTGCGCCCCTCAGTGCCTGTTTTTTTTTTTTTCAACCATTAGAATGTTACGCGTAGATTTTTATCATGGTATGGGGCGTCGCAGGTTGACCCAGCCTAAAATAGATACCAGGATGGCTGTCGTGGGAAAGGAAAGACGGACGGTGTAATGCTGACCACATTACCCACATAGTGTCGATGGTCTGTAAAAATATGGGTGCTCTTCCCATATACCTGATGTGCCCAGGGGCGTGAAAAGGGATCTTTACTTTTTTTTTTTAAATTAAAATGTTACAGCTGGTTAAACACGTGAAATAAGTACCACATATTTTCCAGGGAAGGAGAAATGGCATGTAAAAGTACAAGCCACCAATGACATTTTCAGGGCAAGAAAGAAGCGTCATCTTCACGTTCAGTGACCCTGTATATGAATAATAATTCAATCAGTCCAAGAGAGCTGTCAGTTTTTGAGTAAGAAAGTAGGTCAATTTCAAACTGAGGCTGTGGAAGTCAATCCCTATCCACACTGGACTACAGATAGGATTGATATTTCCTTCAGTGTCAGAGTGCGGCTAGATGAGAGGTGAGGAGCCAAGAGTCTATTCATAAATAAGTCAGATCTATAAAATGAATGCAGATCTGTAAAATGAATGCAGATCTGTAAAATAAATGCAGATCTGTAAAATGAATGCAGATCTGTAAAATGAATGCACAAGTTCCCTGTGTGGGTTCAGGGGCCCCAGTTTGGGTGGGGGAGGGGGGAGAAAAGAGTAGACACACTGCCCCCTGCGCCCCCCCCCCCCCCCCACAACAAGCATATCATAACAGTCAACTAATTAGGGCAGTTTCCAATGAGGTTGGGGCACATTTGTCTGAGAGGCAAGGATTCAATAGTCTGCTTACAAATTAGCAAGATCTGTAAAACGACTGTGCATGCAAAACTCAAGTTCTGCAACAAGACTAAAGTCAAGAAGTGGAAGAACAATCAAAACTTTCCATTAGAGTTTACAGCCGGCGAACATAAAGAAGAAAAAGAAAAATATGTAAAGAAAGAGAAGGGTGTCTAGATATCTAAGCCAATCATCAAAAAGAACCTGTAGAGGAATCACAGAAAAGCTAGGTGGATTTTGAGACATATTTAGCTATGAAGACATCCATGTTGGGTCACATGTTCACTTACCTGGCTGTGATGATCTTGAGATCGAGTTTCTTCGTTATTTTGCTGCTTCTGTTTGTTCTTTCGCTTTTTCTTTTTGGTCTTTGCTTGTGGCTTGCGGACGTGCTGCGTGGCTTGTCCATCATCCTCTGTCTTCGTTTCCTTATCCTCCTCCTCCTCTTCGTTACTTCTGTTTAACTAAGTGAACAAACAAATGCAAATACTTAAACTGATATACTGAAAGACTGCGAGATAGAAAGAATATCGGCGACCATAAAAGTTACAGTTGTTTAGGAAAGAATTAAACAAAGGAGTATTGCTATTTAAATAACGAGTTAAGCAGATTTGTTAAAAGAGAGAAATGGCGGGGGAGGGGGGGGGAGTGTCATAAGATGCGACAGCCACATCTGTTTCAAGGTTTGAACCTAGTTAGTCTCAAGGTTTGAACCTAGTTAGTCTCAAGGTTTGAATCAAGTTAGTCTCAAGGTTTGAACCTAGTCTCAAGGTGCTGAGTGATGTTAATTTTTTAATGAGAAAGAAGCCCCACTCCTTGCTTATTCATGTTAGGTGAATAAGATGCAGAATGACTTCTCAAATAACGGCAAAAAACTTGCAGGTATAATATGCATGTTACACCATTTTTGTTTTTTAAATACTTCAAGAAGTGCAAATTGCTTTTCTTTTTTTAATTTTAGTCAGAAGAAAAAAAAAACTACAATTGTAAATCAGACCTGCTGTCACCTTCATGTCAAAGAATGGCTGTAGCCGATTTATTTCTGTTTCATTAGGTTTGTACTGACTAACACCTTTCCAGTTCTTCTTCTTCTTTCGTTCGCCTGAAATAAGTTGTCTATATCAGCAATTTTGTCTCTTGTATAAATTTCACTGTCGTTGTTAGTTCATTCAGTGGTCCATAGATTTTACGTACCACTGTTGTTCTTTCTGGCCAAAAGGTTTGCCTCAATGTGTCAAAATCGGTGCAGTCCTGGAGTACATGCTCTGCTGTCTGGGGCACATTTCCACAGGTGCACATGGCTGATACACCTATCTTGAATTTGTGTATATGTGGTTGCATAATCGGTTGTGCCCTGTTCTGAGGCGGAGGATAATGACTTGTTCTGGTCTGTCTATAATAAAATAGTCGTCTAATGCTGGGGCTGGTGGTTTCCTGATCGATCTTTCCAGTTAATGTTGTCTATGTTATCTTTCTGACGATCCTTTAGTACATGTGTCTTTTATTTTTATAATACAATGGTTGACTATCCTCCGAATAACGGGCACAAAAGATGGCGGCAAAAAACAGGGCCTCAGTCACGTGTCAACTGCGCACTTCCGGCGACCTAATTTGCGATTTTTCGGCGACTACCGCTACCGCCAAGAGTATCCCCCATGCGGCTCACGATGCGTGGATTGGGGCGAAACTAGATGACTAGGTCTCACGAGCAAAGCTGCAGGAGATGCAGAAGCTGCTGCTCGTGAGTCCCAGCCATCTAGTTTAGTCCCAATCCACGCCGCGGAAAACCGCAATTTAGGTCGCTGGAAGTGCGCAATTGACACGTGACTGAGGCTCTGTTAGGGTGTTTTTGTGGCCGCCATCTTTTGTGCCTGTTATTCGGAGGATAGCCCAATGGTTTTCAGCAAGAGGTTATGTTCTTCATACGCTTTGTTCACTCTGGTGGAAAGTCCGGGTTGTTTGTCCATTTGGAGAGGCATAGAACCAACAGTTTGCATACAAATATGCGAGATCTGTAAAATGGATGTGCATGCAGAACTCAAGTTCTAAAACAAAACCAAAGCCAGGACCTGAACACAGACCTTAGAATCCGTAGGCTATACGACAGCAGATCCATATCTGATGGATATAAGAATTCACATACAACTTGTAATACAAGGGGTTGGGTTTAATTACCAGTTCAAAGGGATTTTCCGTCACCTTAGTTTCTCCATCAGTCGTGATCTTGTTTTTCTGAGATTTCAATTTCTTCTGTCTTCGATGTGACGTACCCCGAGCAGGACTGCCATCTTCAACATCGTTATCATCTTCATCTTCTCCATTCAACTTATCTTGTTCTGGTTGTCCCAAAGCTGCGGCCAACACCGTCAGTTCAGAATCGCCTTGCAAACGTCTCAAAGCACGACTTGACATTCTGCGAATTAACCCTCCCCGTGAATAGACAGTATTTGATTAAATCACTTGCAGAGACTGAGAAGACGCGGGGGAATCGTTCAGTAGTTACAGTAGGTTGTTCTTCACGAAGTTTCAACGCCCGTCTTGTTGCCGTCTCTGTCGACACGTAATGAAATATGGCCAAACCAAAATACTGTGTTCGTTTACTTTCTTCTTACAAATAAGAAGGGGAGATAAGGAGTTAAGAAAAGGTGTACATTAAGGGGAGAAAAGACGTGTGGATGTACTGTATGTAGCTTCCTTTTTTTCATTACTTTCTTATTCCTTTTGTGTTCTTGTCTTTGTCAACATGTAGTTCAATACAGAAAAATAAAAATAAAATATTTCTTCACTTTCACTTTTGAAAAGGGTAAGTAGGTAGTTGTACCCCACCATGACATCACACAAGCGATCAATACCCGATGACACAAAGTGCCACCATGCGGATGAGGATCACCAGTGGAGAGGTCCCAGAAACTCCTTTCAGCCGCTGTGCTATATCTATGGCTAGGCCAAATTTATGGTCCGGCTATATTCAGGGCCCCGGGTAAAAGCCCGGGTGGGGCTTCAAAATAAAAATAAAACATTGCAATCTACAAGGAGACAACTTGATTATAGAAGAGCCGGTACTCCAAGAAACGGGTGTAAATAGCAGTTTACTCAGAAGGGTTTAGAGGTTGAGAGCACTGCTGGCATTTAGTAACCCGCATTACCGATTTTTCGCATGAACTGTATTTCTTTTTCTACTGAAAAATCTTTGCTATCTAGAGGTGTTTGATGCGTCTTTGTGAAACTTTTCTAAGCTGTATGGGGTATTATGATATAGATAGGAGTTTTTTTTTTTTTTTTTTAGTTTTAAAAGAAATATAACCTTTCATTACTACATCTCACACGTTTATCACCGGATTCTCCCATATATATTTTAAACCTAAATAAGGGGAGTTCACCATTGAAAAGCTTTCATCTACGACGGGGTCGCCTTTTGGCTCGCCGGTAGACGGCTACGTCGGGAAAGTATTTAGGGCTGTCTCTTTTGATCGCTTTAATCTGTAAAAGTTCTTCTCAGAGCTACTTGGTAGCGAGCAATGCTAAGTCATTTTACATGGCGCACATTTTCAATACGGAACTAACGTTTCTCGTCCCATTTAGGATCAAATTTTTCGTTATTTGAAGCCCTACTCTGGCTCTTGCCAGGGGCCGCAATATAACCTGGCCATAAATATGGCCTAATGGCTAAACGCGGTTTCTGGGACCTCTTCACGGTGATCCTCATTCCCATGGTGGCACTTTGTGCCATTTGGTGTTTATCGATGTCCTGGTGGGGTAGAAAGTCAGTCAGTCGGCGCACATATTTAAATCCAGTAATCTCCTTGTGAGACAGTCGTCATTTCCTTGTGAAACAGTCATCTTCTTGTGAGACGGTCATCTCCTTGTGAGACGGCCATCTCCTTGTGAGACGGCCATCTCCTTGTGAGACGGTCATCTCCTTGTGAGACGGTCATCTCCTTGTGAGACGGTCATCTCCTTGTGAGACGGTCATCTCCTTGTGAGACGGTCATCTCCTTGTGAGACGGTCATCTCCTTGTGAGACGGTCATCTCCTTGTGAGACGGTCATCTCCTTGTGAGATGACATTTTTTTTTTTTTAAGTTTCACTCTGGCTCTTGGCAGGGGTCGCAATATAGCCCGACAATAAATATGTTCTAATGGCTAAACGCGGTTTCTGGGACCTCTCCACGGGTGATCCTCATCCGCATGGTGGCACTTTGTGTAATCGGGTGTTTTTCGCTTGTGTGATGTCCTGGTGGGGTAAAAAAATCTACTACTACTAATGGCGCACACAACCTAGACGCAATTATAACACTTCGGGAATGCTAGTTGAACGTGAAAATTGTTTTTTTTTTTAAATTTTTTGTTAGCACAGCAAGGGAAAAGAAAATGAGTTTTATAAAAGTGACGAACTTTATTTAGAAATAATTTTGGCTCGTAGGTCGACCCAGCAGCAAATGAGCACCAGATAAAGTCCTGGGAAGTAAAGGTTGTCGGCGTGATGTTCATCAACATCATCCAGTGCGATTTTTCTGTATGCCCGATAAACCTGAAAGCGCAGGAATGGGTCATACACTTACTTTTACCACTTAACTGCGATGTCGCAAAAAAAAAAAAAACTCTTTAGACGGTTGAGCATGGTCTCTAGGATTTGCTTATGTTAGATTCGCCTCTGAAAAGCGATTCTTCGAGTCAACTGATGTCAATATTTCAGACAAGAATCCCCTAACGTGGCCGGGGGGAGGGAGGGGGAGGAGGGGAGCACTCCGGTACCTAATTGCCTATTTTGGTTATTAGCGCAGTTTTACAATTCCAACAAACCAGGTTTCGAAGTGGTCAAACCCTTTGTCTCGCGTTGTCTAGGTCCTGGGTTCGTTTCCCGGACGCCACGTTCAATTCACCAGTCCAACGTTTACGTCACTAGAGCTAAGGAGTTCGTGTTTTGTGCGACATTCCTAACAGGCTACTTACTGTTCAGTGGTAGAAAAAAACTGGGTCAGATGGGATAACCCCGGAATCATGAAATCGATTTTATCGACTTTAGATTGTAACTTTAGTTCATGAATGTTCGGGACTGCCCCAGTCTTTGCCAAGGTTCATGTTCTACTGGGGGGTATTTATGTCTTCTTCTTCGCGTATGGGACGTCGCAGGTCGACCCAGCCTAAAATGGGTACCAGGATGGGCTGTCCTGGGAAAGTAAAGACAGCCGGCGTAATGCTGACCACATTACCCACAGAGTGCTGATGGTCTGTAAAAATATGGGACGCTCTGCCCATATGCCCGATGCGCCGAAAGGCGTGAAAAGGGATCTTTACTTTTACTTTTACTTTACTTATTCTTCGCGTTCACCAGCTGTACACTCTGGCGGAAAGTTCTGGTTGCTCGTCCACTACTGAACTGCAGTCCTGCTCCAGAACCTGAGTGTGGAGTGTGCATCAGTTTTACAGATCTCACTCTCTTAAATACAGACTGTTGGTTCCTTGCCTCTCCCGCAGATGCACTCCGACTTCAAAGGAAGCTCCCCAATTAGTCGACTCTTACGACATGCTTTTGTGGAGGCAGTGGGTCTATTCTTGTTTTTCCCACAATGGGGCCCCGGAACCCACACGGGGGGGGGGGGGAGTATTTATGTGATGCTGGAGTTTCAAATCATCCTCCCCCCCCCCCCACATCCCCCTTCCCCTTCGTATGGGCTCCGAGGCTCCGTTTTTAAAAACTAAGAATAGACCCAGACCCACTGTTTCCATAACAAGCATGTCGTAAGAGGCCACTAATTAGGGCTGCTTCTTTTCTCTATCTCTATCTATCTTCTTTTTTTTTTCACCACCAGGACATCACGCAAGCGATAAACACCCGATGACACTAAGTGCCACCATGTAGATAACGATCACCCCTGGAGAGGTTCCAGAAACCCCGTTCAGCCATTAGGCTACATTTATGGTCGGGCTTTATTGCGGCCCCTGTAAAGAGGCAGAGTAGGGTTTCAAATAACGAAAAATTGCATCCCTTAAAGGGATGACGGCGGCGTCCGTGGCTAAGGCGTTGCGAGTCCGACTCGTAAGCCAGCATACCGCGATCGAAACCCACTGCAGGCTGCGTGGATTTTTGTCGTGGTATGGGACGTCGCAGGTCGACCCAGCCTAAAATGGGTACCAGGATGGGCTGTCCTGGGAAAGTAAAGACAGCCGGCGTAATGCTGACCACATTACCGACAGAGTGTTGATGGTCTGTAAAAATATGGGACGCTCTGCCTATATGCCCGATGCGCCGAAGGGCGTGAAAAGGGAACTTTACTTTTTTTTTTTTTTTAAAGGGATGACGAGACAAGCTGCTTCTTTTAAAGTCGGAGTGCATCTGCCTGAAATGCAAGAAACCAACAATTTGTTGACAAATTATTCATATCTGTGAAACGGACGCGCATGCAGAACACAAGTATTGGAACTAGATCAAAGTCCAGAAACAGAAGAACAGCCAAGATTTTCCACTGGAGTTTGGAAGAAAAGGAAGAAATTCTGTAATTGCTTTATTTTAATGTCCTCAAAATTAGAGGTTCGCTTTAGCGGTACCGACTCCTATAACGTGACGCTGCCTCTAGCCGTAGAGCATTCCCTCACCAACTACGAGCATTACACGAAGAATGACATCCCTTATCTCCAGCGACAACCTCTGCGATTCACTGATACGCCGGTACTAACGAAATAAATACGGATTTTAAAATGAAACTAAGATCTTCGGATTGCGCAAACCTCTTGACCTGTAGGAAACCTTCGCTTCGCTACTTAGCAAATTATAAAGTATTAATACCAATCAGGAGAAATGAGCGAGCAGACGTCACTCATCCTATATTAATTTTTGTGTCGGAATCCCAAAGCAGCTATGCGACTGACCGCTCTTTTTCTCTGTATCTCAACTCCTGCTTTATCTCCTTCTCCTCCTAACATCTCCAGTGCTTTATTTTCTAATACTCATAGGAAATCAATACTCTCAACATTGATTCCTCTGCCTGGTGTGATGGCCTCAGGGTCTTCCTCAGCACTGTGCATTTATGTGTATCACTTTGTGTGGCTCTAGAAAGTTTTTTTTCAAGAAGGCTATTTATGGTCATCCGAATGACGTCAATAAAAGCCTCGCCAAGGTGTTTTTATAGTATATTCATGCCGCAAGGTGTTATGTCAGTATCTATACACAGTTACATCAAACTAAACTTAGGAGTAATGTTATTCATAGGCGTCTGTTTATTAATGATAACTATTCCTGGCTTCACTTTGATTTGTGCCTAATATGTCGCAAAATCCTTTCTTCATCTCTTTCCCTCTGTCTCTACATCTCTCTCCCTCTGTCTCTACATCTCTCTCCCTGTGTCTCTACATTTCTCTCCCTGTGTCTCTACATCTCTCTCCATATGTCTCTGTATCTCTCTCCCTCTGTCT